CAAAGACTGTGCAGGAAATGCAACACAAATGATGTATTTTGAAAAGACACGATGATGCTGTGAAAATGGAGGATAATACTAAAAAGAAATATTAAGAATATTTTGTGATTTCTTGCTTTTTTTCTTAATGATATTGCATCATGTGATCAAAGTTGTTTAATGCCGAGAGAATATTATTATTAAAATTAAAATTTTTGTTCATTGCGTATACTGAGCAGTTTGTAGTACAGGAACCAAGTTCAAGGTCATCTGTTGGAAACTGTTCTGCCCTCTCAACAGTCAGTCTGTGATAAACAAATGACAGAATATTAACGTTCAAGTTGCTCCAGTTTTCCAACAAATCAGACAGATTTTCTACTGACGAGTTATTTCCTTCGTAAGAACAGTATTATTAACAGACGATTGCAACTGAACTGCGTAGTGATGAAGTGAATCACTACGTAAGTCAACTTAGTCTTAAATATATTGAAATTCCCATTTTAAACAGAGCAGCGGATCATTCGATTAATATAATGTGTCGAATATTGTATATTAATATTTTAGTTTATCTTTATCGTACATTTTGATGTGAATACACGAAAGTTATTCCTTAACAAATGCCTTCGTACCTAAGCTAATTTTCAGATTTAACATTTGACTCGTTAAGATATCGAGAGAGACAGAGGGAAATAATTGTAATAAAAAGTAATTCGTGTATTTATCCCTGATAACAGAAGAAAATATATAAAATCTGTATAAATGAGATTCATTTCTTCTGTGTTTCTGAATAAGATTTGTAGCTTAAATGCGTCATGTTTGTGTTGATTAGATATATATTTATTTTCACAGTCCATACACAAACGTTGTAGTTAAAATGATGTTGTTAAAATTATATAATATTAAAACATTATTTAGTATAAAATATTATATTTTAGCGCTTTTTATCGCAAATACGATATTACATTATTTAAATAAATAAAATAAATAAATAATAATAAATAAATAAAATAAATAAAAAATAAGTAAATAAAATAAAATAAGTAAAATAAATAAATAAAAACGCTAAATAATGTAATATCGTATTTACTATAAAAAGCGGTAAAATATAATATTTTATACTACATAATGTTTTAATATTATATAATTTTAACAACATCATTTTAACTACAACGTTTGTGTATGGACTGTGAAAATAAATATATATCTGAATAAGATGTTATTGTCTCCAAACTAGGGAACCTAACCTAACTTAACCAGGCAAAAAGTTACGGACGGAACTTTGGTTAGATGAATATCTGGTATCACATTTTCTACGTACGAGTTCGCTCATTCCTTCGGTCGACTGTCTTGTGACCGACTCACTGCGTCCAAACATATAAAGTGCGCGCATGCGCTAAACACGGTACAGAGCAAAAATAGAATTTCGTTCGATGAATGGATGGCTGATAGTGAACTCAGAAATGATTGAATCGTATTTTGGTTGAAAGCCTCTGTGACCAGGCCACGCTCCTTTTAAACTTTATATTCACATTTACTGACAGTTTTTGGACACTAATTGTTGGCATCAGTCAACCTTGGTTAATACTTTTGTTAAATACAAGTTAACAAACTAATGACTTCCATTTATCAACTGATTATGAGTTGGAACTTGTAATGTGTGGTCTGCCTTGTACTACCGCCCTCAGGTGATCGGTTATCGTCACACAGACTTGTTTTCCACTTTGTATAGTGTCAACGTTAGACATGGATCGCGTGACTCAGTCCTTCGCGTGTACAGTAACGATTACGGGTATACCAACTTTGTCACACAGAAGCGGTTATTGTGATGAAAATGGTTGTCTTCTGGGTTTGCAGCTTAGTGTAGTCGACGATACTACAGAGACGTATCTACAATTAATGTAATTGGTCTCTTAGACATTGCCCATCGTTTAAGTGTTCTCAAAACGACGATATTTCGTAAGTTGGTTTTAGTAACGTCTTCAGCTAAATAGTAGGAAGGAAAAATCTGTAATATTTTGGGCTCATTAATAGAGCTATTTGCAACCTCGACCCGCTTCAGATTAAAATTTATCCCTTCAACCGATCACCTGAAGACGGATGCAGCACCAACTTTCGAAACACTCGTTCTAATTAATAGCAAACATTTCTTGTGAAAATTCATTGTCCACTGAACTAGCGCGTTCAGTAGCAGCAGTAGCCTTGGTTTAAGTAGTAAAATCCGGACGGTCACCTAGATTGGGAAATTTTGGATGCGCAAAAAACTTAATGAATAAAAAGTAAATATAATGAGCTTAAATTGTAATATAATAATCGTAGAATTATAGAAGAAGAAATCATAAGGAAGAAATAAATTTATGCCATAACAATACTTGGTATGGCATAAAAATGGTTGCTGTGTGTGTGTTTTTGTTTATATGTATATACAGGGTTATTCAAAATTCCCTGAGACATTACAAAAAATCGCTAGACTTGATTGGTGCAATGGATGGTAATATTGGACGTGCCGATAGAATGAGAAACTATCCAAGTTTATTTTGCATGCCTCATAAATGCTCTGTGTGTCCGCCCTTGAGACGCGGCAGACGTCAAGCCGAGAACCCATTTTCGCCCATACCCGCTGCAGCATGACAGATGACAGCGGTGATTCGTCTTCGCAGCTCAGGCAGATCCCGTGGCAGAGGCGGTACAAAGACCCGGTCCTTAACGTACCCCCATAAGAAAAAATCACATGGCGTCAGGTCAGGTGATCGGGGTGGCTAACGAAGCAGCGCATGATCATAGAGCATTTATGAGATATGTAAAATAAACTTGGAGGGTTTCTCTTTCTATCGGCATGTCGCATGTTACCATCCATTGCACCATTCAAGTCTAGCGATTTTTTGTAATGTTCAGGGAATTTTGAATAACCCTGTATATAGGAAAGTCGAGAATGTGGCCAGTCCGGACATTTCCTGATAATGAGATTATCTCGTGAATGGACACTTTTAAACAATTCATTGTCAATTGCACGGCATCTTGTGCTAATAGTCAATTTTTGGTTTCTATTTCATTTCTTTAGAATGTTGTTTATGCCTATGGACGGACTGGACTATTTTAATGGGTCTGCAGACAAACATGAAACGTTTAGTTTGATAAAGCCCTATGACTAATACACCTCGTGTCTATGTTTATGATTGTGGTATAATTTAAGGACTTACGTACCTGAAGGTTGCCAAGCTGATAAAAATGGAACAGGTTAACATTTTTTTTTTTTTTACCTCAAAACGGAGTTCTCCAATTGGTGGGGCAGCATACGGAATGCTAAGAAATGAAATGATCTTTCTTCCCTTTCTGGTGGCACTGTGAAATCCTCGGAGGGTACCCTGTCGGATCATTACGATGGGGGCATCTTCACAGGATTTGCAGCTGCCATCAGGAATATATGTCACGGTCACCAAAATTATGAACATTGCAGCAGCTAGGAGGAACACAGTCACCGCGACTACCTTGGGCACGGAGTTCAACATGGCTGCAACACAACGTTCAATATGTCTCCGTGTGTTATTACCAATACCTATACAGATTTGAAGACAGACCTTCTACAGTCCCTGACGTCACCGATTACGAGATGCTTTTGTTTGTAGAGATCATTTTTCGAATGGGGCCGGTCGACTACTGAACGGTTTTTATAACAGCTCAATGAAACGCACCTGATTCTTGGACATTCTTCGTCTCTTGTACTCCACATACAAAAATACAGCCACTGATAAGTAGGGTTTGTCGATTTTTTAAAAACCGGTTTTTTTTTGGATAAATTTGTAAAATTCTAAAACCGGTTTTTAAAATTTAAAAAAACCGGTTTTTAAAATTTAAAAAACCGGTTTTATATACTAGAATTAATATGTAAAAATTAATTAAGAACGTTAACATTTTGACTTGAAATCGCCTCGGGCACAAGCATATTGTAGTGAAAATAATCTTCATGATTCAGGCTGAAATTAGTTCCAAATTATTAAATGCTTTAGAAGTACGAATTCAAGAAAGAAATCATATTTCCTGAAGAAAAATACTAAATTAAATAAAAATTTATATTTTGTACGGATTTTAGTTATTTTATTTTTTATTTGGTTTTGTATGTCGTATATTTTATTTTGTTATATTTTTGTAGTTCCATAAATATTAAGTAAACTGAGAATTTTTAAAATAAGTATAAATATTTTTTTACTGTTTTAATTTTCTTTTGTAAAAATTAGAAAACCGTTTTTTTGCAAATAATGGGATTCGAAAACCGGTTTTTTTGTAAATATTGGGATTCGAAAACCGGTTTTTTCAAAGGTCGGTTTTTGTATAAACCCTACTGACAAGCTATAGAAAATTCGGACTATTTTTAACACACTCAGTGGCGTGTACGAAATATATTATAATCGTTCTGAACATCTAACGGTGCACTAAGTCTTTGTGAAATTCAAATGGAGGTTGCTGTGATTTTTAAACAGTACATCCCTAACAGAGACAAAAGTTTTTGAATAAAGATCTATAATCTTTGCGACACAGCGAGATATGTTTATAACTGGAAGGTTTTAGTTTATGAACTGTGTGTGAGAAGATAGTTTGAATTTTGTATTTCCTTCAGACATACCAACAGAATACAAAATAATGTCTTATTTACTTAATTTAACTTGTCTCTTTATGTTATTATTCACAACACTGAACAAAATGTGTTAGGGGAGGAAAAGACGTCTTTGAGACATGTGTTTATGCCTGACAAATAAGTGATAACTTTTCTTTTGTTTGTTTACCATTTCTTTAGTTGAACCCTTTGTTTTGTATTATGTGAAATTTATATTATAATAATTATTATTATTATTATTATTACACCGTTGCTCGGAAGACGTGTTATAACCTACCTCTCAGTCCTGTGATCTGCTTGCGCTGTGCTCCGTCTTCAAGCGGCGACTGTGCGAACTACTGTGACAGCAAGGACAGTTATCTCCGCCCATTGTTTCGATATCAACTTGAGTGCAGTCTTCAAGGCTGCACCGGTAATCGAACTCAAGATGGTCTTCTGGTTTTCCACCATGTCACTGACCTATGCCAAGGCTTCATTTTATAGTGTGTGTGTGCGTGCGTGTGTGTGAGAGAGTGTGAGTGTGTGTGTGTCTCTGTGTGTGTGTGTGTTTTTTTTGTTACAAACCTACGAAAACATTTTCAACGGGACTCGAATCCATGACAGTTTCTCGTAGTTCTTGGGAATTATCTCGGTAACAGCGTGCTGAAGGCCACTCCCTCCATGCAGTGGTGGCGCTGGCACTGTACACGGAACGTAAATGGACTATGGCATTAATATTCTCTTTGTAGCCAAGAGCATGTCGAATTTCTCATTCTTTTCTCTCCATAAGATACGTATAAAGGAATATCGCATTCTTAATCACGATGTGTGGAGTGCTGCATCTGTTATACCAGTCTCGCTGGAAATTGACTTTTGTCGTGTAAAGTAACAAGGACATTCCTTTCTATTGCTGCATGAATCATTGCAGTTCTTGTACTATGAATTTGCACAATCACTCAAACAATATCCTTCCTTGAATGTGGTAAAACATCAGAAACCAATTTGTGTTTAACCCAAACCAATAACAGAAACTTACACATTTTTCTTTCATGCTAGAGAGCGAGAGAGAGATAATGTGCCTATAGAAACGGTAAAGGAAGACGCACGAAAGTGAACCTTAAGTACCGTCTTACTCAACCCCACTTGAATTGTCAGC